TGATATATCCCCAAGACCAAACAACTTCCATAAATGTGGGCAAATTATGCCCTGGACCCGTGTCCACAATTCCACAGGCCCAAAACGACGTCGTTTTTCAAAAAAAACGCGTCATTTAGTTAAAATAAAATAAAAAATTCGCGCGCGTTTTGCCGTTAACGGCGTTAACGGCGTTATTTTTTTTTTTTTGGATTATGAATGTACAGTTATGCCGTTATGAATGTACAGTTATGCCGTTATAAATGTACAATTATGCCGTTATGAATGTACAGTTATGCAATTATGAAATTATGAACATATATAGTGATAAAATTATGACCATGGAGCTTTAAAATTATGAATATAGAGCTTCGAAGATTATGAATGTACAGTTATGGAGTTATGAATCTACAGTTTTGGAGTTATGAATCTACAGTTATGAGATTATGAATCTACAGTTATGGAATTATGAATGTACATTTATTGATCGAATTATGAACAAAGAGCTCTAACATTATGAACTTACAATTATGAACATATAGTGATAAAATTATGAACATAGAGCTCTAAAATTGTGAACATAGAGCTTTGAAAATTATGAATGTACAATTATAGAGTTATGAATGTACAGTTATGGAGTTATGAATGTACAGTTATAGAGTTATGAACGTACAGTTATGGAGTTATGAATGTACAGTTATTAATAATATAGTAATAAAATTATGAACATATACTCCTATAACGAAGCGGTCTGAAATTTAAAAAAAAAAAAAAAAAAAAAAAAAAAAAAAAAAAAAAAAGAGATAACAGTGTCTAACGGCACTGTTACCCGTGTCCAGCAAGCATGCTAGACACGGGTCCAACGCATAACGATTGATAAATGTGTGGGCATAACTGTATATAATAATTCTCAAAAAAAAATAAATAAATAAATAAATAACTGCATATAATAATGTTTGGTCCTTATTCTCCATACCTTCCAAAACACTTTCTATCGGTACACATAAATAGTTTGTTTGATTTTTGGGGCCATTTTTTCAGGTTTGCTCATGATTACATTCAATTCTTTTTATTTTATTATTGTCTTTTTAAATTAAATTTCTCTGAATAATCTGAATTTACCAACTTTTTACCTACGTCACAACAACAATTCTCTTATTTTTATAAGATAAGAAATGATGGTGTGAAGGGAATATTTGGTCATGATTACCTACTTCTTTGGCTCTCAAGTCTCAATATGTTTCCTATCTATACTTTATTTTTGTATGGGCTTATTGATGATGGAAATTTTCTTTTTGTGTAGGCTTATTGATGGTGACAATTTTCTTTTTAATTTCTTCTCCCAAAACGTTGAATTTTCAACCAGGCAGGGCCAAATGTCGGTGATTTTCTTTGCACAGGCTTAGCAGACAGGGCCAAAAGTATGTCGATAATTTTGTTTATATACAAGGGATGTGTCTACTTTGGACATAATCTTCACATTACCGCCGTTGAGGTTTGAACCTTGGTTTCTTTTCTCAAATACTACCTACTAAACCATTGAGTTAAGCCCGTGTAGACAATATTTTTTTTTTATTTATATAGGCTTATTGGTGATAAAAATTTTATTATTTATATAATGAAAATTTTAAAGTTAATAGGTTAGCTTTAAACTTTTAATGTTACATATTCCTCCTATATTTTTTCTAAATTCTTTCTCTTCTAATATATAATTCTTTAATTGATAAATAAAATTATTTTTAATTAATAGTGAGGTCAACCAATTCATGGATATCCAATGCAATGAATAGAAGCCACATCAAGGAATGAAAGGTTGGAGGAAAATTTTATGAGGGGAAGAAAACATTTTCTTTTAATTAATTATTTATTTAGCATAAAATTGAATATAATTTATTCTCATTTATCTATAGTTTTGGTCAAATATGAGAAAATCAGTTAAAGTTCACTTAACAATTCAAGGGTGAATTTTTGAAATGGAAAGAAAATAGGATTTGAAGGATGTCATTTGTTTTGAGCCAATTTTTCAAGATTAAAATTGAAGAGAAGAAAGGGTAAATTAGGAGTGAAGTTTACCGTTTATCGATCATTCTTTGAATGGTGATAACAGAAAATTACTGAAAAATTGGGCAGATGATTAAAATAGGTAGGAGCACAACAATATATATAGTTGTATTGGGAGAACCCGACCCATTCAAGTTAGTTAGATTGTTGACTTGGTAATCACAAGGTTATAAGTTAGACTTCCAACATGAGCGACCCATTGATCTTATTGGTTTTTGAGCCAGTTACAATACGAGGTTTACCCACCTCTTTGTGGTTCTTTATCGATTAAGTCAGAAGGCGAGGTTTACCATATGCACACCATCAGGTAATGGTTGTGGGTTTCCCTCATTCCTTCAAACGTAGTTGATTTCAAAGTTTAATTAATAGAACTAAAAGTGATACTCACTACTATGTAGTATGATGATACCTCTGTTACTATTTTAAATTGATTATCACTGGATCAAACTCTGGTAGTAAACATATATATATATTACCTTGTAAAGAATGTGTTTAAAAAAAAAAGTGATAAAATCACAATAATAAATAAATCAGAAGGAAAATTAGTACCATAGATACTCAATTGAATATTAAAGTAGAATCAATCCTCAAAATAAGCAATATAATTATTTATTTACAATGCCAGTTAATACTTTTGAACATGATTATTATTTTATATTTTTATAAATGTTGTTAATTATAAATTAACAACTTAATTGTTTTTACTTACTTTTGGGATAATAAACTTTAATTTGCAGACCTGTCCTGCAGTTCACTTTCATTTATTTCTCCGACACAGAGTGAGTACTACGTACACTGAACACTGGCTACGTAATTTTGTCCAATTAGATGAAGCAAAACCAACCAAAGCTTTTGACCGCAGTATCGAGCAGTCAAAAATATTTGTTACCTTAAAATAAAATTTTAATTTCTTATTATAGAGTGGTTAGAAATTCTAACCATTACTCTTCATAGTGATCCAACAAAATTCTTGAAATTTGTAAATTTAAAAAAAAAAATACTTCTTTTTATATAATTATATGTAGTGAAGAAAGAAAATGAAAGAAGGAAAAGAGAAGAGTTTAAGAGAAGAAAACAAAAGAAGAAAGCAAAAGAAGAGGAAGATGATGAAAAAGAAAATATATCTAGGCTCATTTTTTTAAAAAAATTTAGTTTCTATTTCTTCAATTTTCTAATTTTTCAATATTTTTCTTTTTAAATTTGTTTTCGAAACTTAACTTTTAAGAAAATAATGTTATGAATTGTAATTATAAGTTTCGTATGTTAATGTTAATTATTTAAAAGATAACAAGCATTAATAAATTATAATAACATTAAGAAATGTAATACATATTATAGTTGAAGATCGGAGATTATCACACTAGCACGAGATGGTAGTCAGAGAAGGAAATGAGTTTGAAATGGTTTGACTCTTGTAAACGAGCACGAATATCAGGTTAAGTATGTCAACTTTTTGTAAATATTTCAAAATAAAATAATTTTAGCCACTATTCCAGTAGTAACCGAATCGTGGCATGTACTACTCAATTGGAGAACTTACCACTCGATCAAAGGGTTTGACCGAGTCGTTGTAGCTACCATTCGATCAAATGGGTTTGACCGAGTGGTTAACTCCTCGGTTGTATAATAGGTAACACTCAGGTACCACTCATCCTCTCGTAACCTCTCTGGTACCACTCGTATGTACCACTCGGGTAGCAATCGTTCTGGGAGTATTAATTCTTATCAGTTACGGAATTAAGAATAAAATCTTGGGATTAATAATTCTTAAAACCTTGTTCGCTAGGCTCAAACATAGAACCGCAGTACGTTTTATCTTAAGAAACATAAGCTACAACGCTTCTAGCACCTTTAATTAGGAGGTAGTAAATAAGGTTCTAAGGAAAGAGGGTTTCGCTCGACTCGTACTAACCGCCTACCTTTTTAATTACCTTTCACCTTGTACTTGTTATTTTCCCCAGAAATGTTATTTTTTTGTAGTAATATTTCGTTTTTCTGATTAACAAGTACTATTAATGATAAACTTTAATTTTCAAAATTCTAAAGTGAAAAAAAATTGGTATGAAACTTGACTTATAATTACAAATAAACCTTAAGTTTTCAAGTACGTACTTTAATTTTTAATTGTAAAAAATATTAGGGTTTCTAACATTGAAAGTATGCAAATAGATTTTTTTTTTTTTTTTTTTTTTGAAAACGAAAGTAAATAGATTGAAACCGTTATATGTTTAAAATATATTGTCCACAATAATATTATTAGCTAAATAAAAGTAGTTGTCTACATTATTATTATTATTAAACACTCAAAACAACAAAACTAATATTATTCTTTCCAACAAAATTAATATTATTACTTAACCAAGTACATGCCAAGTAACTTTAGGAGACATTAAATGATGAAATCTACAACTGGCATAGAATTACTAAAGGACTGAATTACACCAAGAGTACAACTCAAATGCCAAAAGTAGAGGTTGTTAGTGTAACAGAAAATTGTTCTCTATTTTCTGTTTTTAAATTTTTTAGTTTTCATTCTCTGTTGTCTGTTTAAAAAATTTGTTTACTAACACTTATTTTTAAAAATTTATTTATTTTTAGATTAACGTTATAAAATTAACACATATTTATTAATCTTGAGTTACTTTTAGATCTTATATTTAATATATTTTTACATATGTTTGGTTTAAATGGAATGAATTTAATTTTTTTTTTTTTAAGTCTAATACATGTATGATTTTTACATAAAAACTAAAAAATATATCCGAACCAATAACCTACTAAATTCACCTAAAATTTAGTTTAGATAATATTAATATTTTTTGAACTAATATTTAAAATATTATTTGGATATTTTCATTTGAATGACATGTATATAAATATATGATTTTTACTTTGAATTCTAATATATGTGAGATTTCAATATTCGATATCCAGACCTATTGCAATCTCAGCAGAGTATATCAATCATTGAGCGAAAGAAGAAAGATGTTGCATTGATGAACATAGTAGCTGCTTATTACAGAGAGGAAGATCAGAGAAAGAGAAATGGAGATTTACAAATCTGTTTTATAAAATCTGTAACTGCATCTTCTAAAATACATTTTGGATGAGCTGGACACAAGTTGACTAGCTAGCCTTGGAACCTTCTAGAGCCTTTTCCTTTTCTTTTTCTTTCTCTTTATTTATATGTTGTGATACCCCCCCCCCCCCCCCCCCCCGGTAAGCTGGGGCGTACAAGTCTTGTAGACCATGCTTAGAAGTGAATTGAATAAACTGTGGTGAAGGAAGAGCTTTGGTAAATCCATCTGCTATCTGATTTGAAGATGTAATGTAGAGCAGCTTGATGAGACCTTGTTGTACCTTTTCCCGAACAACATGACAATCAATTTCTATATGTTTACTTCTTTCATGGAAAACAGAATTCTCACCAATAGCAATGGCGGACTTGTTATCACAGAAGAAAACTGCTGGTTTGGATGGAGGAATTCCCATATCAGTTAAAAGATACCAAAGCCATTGAATTTCACATACTACCCCAGCAAGGCTACGATATTCTGCTTCAGATGATGACCTTGAAATCGTGTGTTGTTTCTTTGATTTCCAAGAAATAAGTGAATCACCTAGGAATAGGCAGAACCCTGTGATGGACCTTCTTGTTTCTGCACAAGTTGCCCAATCAGAATCTGTAAAAGCTTTCAAATGTATGTCTGAATTGGTTGAGTAAAAGATTCCTTTTCCAGGTGCAGGCTTCAAGTACCGTAGAACACAATGAGTTGCTGCTAAGTGCGTTTTTGTGGGATAATCAATGAATTGACTCAGTTGTTGAACACTATATGTTATGTCTGGACGAGTGGCTGTGAGGTACAAAAGTCTGCCTACTAATCGTCTATAAACACCTGCATCAGCTAGCAAAGGTCCATCATTGTGCATCAACTTCTGTCCTGGAACAATTGGACTAGTTACTGGCTTACAGTCCAAAAAGCCACACTCTTCCAAAATATCTAAAGTGTATTTTCGTTGGCATAGGTTGAGACCTGCAGAACTCCTGGCCACTTCTATGCCTAAAAAATAACCAAGGTCACCTAAGTCTTTAATTCTGAATGTTGAGTCCAAAAACTTCTTCAAATCATCAATTGGACTAAGAGAATCACTAGTGATGATAATATCATCAACATAAACTAGGATTCCCACGAAATAATCAGAATTAGACTTAATAAACAAAGATGGATCTGATTTCGCTTGAACAAAACCAATGCGTAGTAGAGCTGCAGTGAGTTTGGCGTTCCACTGCCTACTTGCTTGTTTAAGCCCATATAGTGACCTAAGAACTTTGCACACTTGGTTAGGTTTGTCACTGTGAAACCCAGGAGCACTACAAGAATTTTAATATTTAGCGACGATTTTTAAATGTCAGTAAATATAAAAATACGTCGCCAAATGTCTTTACTGACCAAATAAAAACGTTACCACGACCGTCGGGTTAGCGACGTATGGAAAGGTATTACTGACGAAGTTAATTTTTCGTCACAAAATATTATGATTACTGACGTTTTCGCATGGTCTTGATAATATCATTGAATACATACTTTTTGCAACGAAATATTAACAAAAACGTCGGTAATAGTTTGTGACGAAATAAAATATTTCGTCAGCAAATGTTTCTTTACTGATGTTTTCCATACAATTATGCTCGTCATTAATAAATATATTTGGTGACAAAAAACGAAATACGTCGATAAAATAACATTTATTGACGATTGTGTACATTATTATACGTTTAGTAAAAGTCATTTACTGACGTTTTTTCCGTATTCATTTTTCATCGCAAAATTTTATATTTAGAGATATTTGCAATATTTTTACCCTTATTGGTGATAATTTACATATACTTGTATATAGAATTGTTTACACAACAGTTTCATGTAATTGAAAATAAAATATTTAAGCATCAATTAAATGTTCAAAATAGAAGAATATTTTCATAATATGTAATCAATTTCCATTCTAGTAGTATACTCCACGAAACTAAAATTTATATAACAATAAAAAAAAATTCTAAACTTTCGTTATATCTTCAAATGTTGGTATGCCCCTTGAGTTCTTGTAACACTGAGTTTCGCATTCCGAAAATGTCATATTTCCCATTGAAATTGGATGGCCAGGCCATTTCATCCACTGAAGCCTCTTGAATCTGTCATCTTCATTGCATTCCAATCCTATTCTCCTCACACATCTTTCAAGCAACTACAACCCGAACTCGAACCAATTTTCTTACAGCTTCCAAATGAACCACAACTTCCAAATGAACCACAACTTCCATATTCACACTAACTGGACCCTAGAAACTGAAACTGCAACACATTTGCCATTTCTATAAAAATAAAAACAAAAATTCGCTTTGTAGAATGCTTGTGTTGTATTGTTGTCAACAACTAGATTGAACAGGACATAGTCAAGCACATACTTAGAGAAGACCCAATCCACTTAACGTATTGTTTAGTCTAATTCCAAAGCATACTTTAGCCACTAGCTAAGCAACACCATTCTAGAAGATGTCACATGTTCATTCAAGCAGTTGTGACCTTATATGCCTTTGTGCTTGTGATCCTATCCACAACTATCATTGCAACGTTGGATCAGAATTCAAAATTATGATTTCCCATGCTTGAGGAAAAAAACAAACACAGTGAATCTACTTGGCCCTTTTGCCCCTTTAATGGCATAGTTGGAGCTTGTTCCTAGTTACAAAACTTAATTCATTGCCATGTACTGCTTTTAAAATATTTTCAAATAAAAGCAAAATGTAGACACATAAAAGAAAGACCAGAGAAAGAACTAATGATTAGGAGAATATCCACAATCAAATTGCAAAGCATGATATACTAGTCTATTTGATACTTCAAATTATATTTTACTGGGCATTCTTGTGAAAATATACCTAGGGGCATCATTAAAACAATCAGCGCAAATTCTGACGGGCGAATGAATAGCAAACTGTGGTAAGACCTGAAAACAATGAACCAAAAAAAGAAGAAAGATGAGCTACCAGAGAAAATTTACATCCAGACAAATTAGAACATACACATAATTCTGCAGTACATACCATTTGATTTGCTAAGTGTTCAGCACACAGAGTTCGCCCACAACACCTGCAATGATGCTACAAAAAAAGAACCCAGAGAAAGGCAAGACTCAAGGCATTGCATACTGAAAAGATAGCATTCAATTATTGTAAAATCAAATTAGAGTAAGAAATTAGGAAAGAGAAAAAGACACGAGCATGTGCACACCCGATGTGAGTTCATTAGCATATAATGCATCACAACTTGATTAAAAAGTAAGTAAAATTTATAGGTTACGCAACACATTTCCTGATTTTGAAGAAACAAAAGCAAGTGTAATCTTATGGTAGTAATCAGGATTAGGTACTACCATATTACAGAGTATCTTATTTTCATACAATTCTAAGAGACATGCCGTTGTCTTTTCAGTCTACTAGAAGTCTCAAGAAAGGCTTTTCACTTGGTTTCCCACTAAGAAATCTGGGATTCATCATAAATTCCCATCTATATGGACTCAGCAGCCAACCTTGAAGGCTTGAAGAAGGTAACACTGAGTGAAGTTGATCTTTACAACTAAAAACATACCAGGAAAGCAACACTGCAATATAAAGATTTTACAAACTTATTAAATTTGAAGGGACTTTCGACATACAATGCCCTCTGTGCCATCTACTCTTGTCTTTACAACAAAAAGTACCACTCTTTATCAGAAATACTTCCCTCTGTAGCATAGGTTGATAAGCCACCAAAACAGTATCTACTCATATCCTTCCAAAGCTTGCTTGTTTAAAACAATAGAAAAGCTAAAGTTAACTAAGTAACCAATCCTCAACATCCAACTAAGAAAAGGTAAAATATATCGAATCGAAGGAAATGGTATTTTGTCATGTCTACCTATTTGGGGATGAAAAATCATGAATCAATATGACTCTAACTGAACCTTGGATTTGGAAAAGTATAGTTGTTGTCTTGCTGACTTCTCAAACTTAGCCCTCTCTCCCTACTACTGCATACCAACTTTACTAAGACAATAAAAGAACAACTTAAAAACAATCTAGAACACGTTGAATTGTATAACGCTAACTGCCTAACTGCATACGAACTCCCCAATTGTTAGGTATTTTCCAAAAAAAAAATAATAATAAAAGGAAAAAACTTCTCACATCTGAAGAATCGGTCCATGTCTCAATTCCTTTATTAACAACCAAAAAGCAGTTTCCATCGCACAAAATGCATATGCAGATTGGATGGAGAGGTAACTTCACTCCACATCAGAGTGATCATCGGATAATATCAGAAACGGCTTTAAATGAGGAAAATTAAAATAAATAAGCAATTACAACGTACCCGCCGCCGGAAGGTGCTAAAGCTACACTTGCACAGTTTGGTATGTAATTTTCATCAACATTGTCAATAAATATTCATGGCAGAGTGCCAAGGCACATTGCACAGAGCACAGAAAAATCTGTTGCAGAAAGGGCACTCTAAGGGCAGTAGAATTTCTCCGAAGCCGGAATTTGGGATTCACATAAAATCATAACCACAACTTTTACTATCAAAATCTCAATCTTGTAAGGTTCATTCACAGACTCACAACCATAATTCTTCTCTAAGCTTCATCTTTGCTGACTTCTTCCCTAATTATGGGCAAATTTCTCCTGATGATATGATCCTACAGATGATTCATATAAATTCTGTATCTAGAAACCATAGCCCATGAAATTTTTCTTACATGTACTCATCTACCACATTTGTCAATTAACAAAGTCAAAAATAGAAAGTCATTAGGAACAAAAGTCCACTCACCATCTCCCCAACTTTAAAAATGATACTACATAATCTAAATCTTGAAAAATGTAGTTATACCATCTTTCTGAAGGCATAGAGACCTGATTACCTCAAAGAATGGGATTAGAAGGAGATCCAGGTAAGCCTTCCAACCTCATTCGTGAACTTGTGAATCCCTCCCCATCAAGTATGTTCAAATCTGAAAAAAAAAAAAAAAAAAAAAAAAAAAAAAAAAAAAAAAAACCTAGTATGAATTTTAAAAAAAAAAAACGACTGACCTGGTGTCAAAGCCGAAGCCGAAACTCACCGCTGATGCCGATGCCGATGAGAACATCTATAGAAAAAAAAAATTTCGCAAACAGAAACTATAGATCTGAAAAAAGAAGAAAAAACTTAAAAGAAGAAAAAACTTGAGAGAAGAAGAAAATACAGATTAGAGAAGACAGGGGCATGGCGGTGGACCGTGGCTGGGGCGCCGACGGCCGGCGGAGAAGACAGATCTGAGAGAGTCGGCGGCTGTGACGGTTCGCGGTGGATCTGAGAAGAGAAGGTAGAGTGTGGCGAAGGTATTTTTTTCTGTAAGCTTGGGTCCCTTCTAATGGTGGTGGATGTGAAGTTGGAAACAGCGGTCTTGTAGTGGAAATCATGGTGGCGTTGCAATGGAAGCTGTGTACTGCATACTGCAATCGAAGCTAGTGTAGAAACATGTGAAGTTGATTTTTAGATAGATTTTTCTTGTTTTATTTCTTAAGAGCGTATTTTTTATGGCGCCAAATATTAAAAAGTTCCCGCAAAATATTTTTATTTTTCCTGACGTTTTGTGATAAAATTAATTTTTAAAACAAAATATTTAGGGACGTTTATTAAAAAACGTCATTGATTTTATATTTTTACTGACGAAAAAATTGTATTTCGTCAGCAAATATTATAAATAAAAATTATTTTCTCTACCAAAATATATAGTGACGTTATTTAATATAACGTCACAAATTGTAATATTTAGCGACGTTTTCTAGAGCGTAGTTAAAATTTTCGTCGGGAAATGAAAGATTTCTTGTAGTGGAGGAAGAACCATATAACTTCTTCATCCAAATCCCCATGAAGAAAAGCATTATTGATGTCAAGTTGTTGAATAAACCAACCTTTGGTTATTGCCACCGCAAGAAAGGTTCTGATTGTTGTGATCCTTGCCACAGGTGAAAATGTTTCTATGTAATCCACCCCAAGTTGTTGAGTATAACCCTTTGCTACTAATCGAGCCTTGTACCTTTCCATTGATCCATTTGCTTTATATTTGACTCTATATACCCATTTACACCCAATTGGTGTCTTTCCTGGAGGTAGGTCAGTGAGTTCCAAGGTTTCATTGTCTTGTAGTGCTTGAATCTCAGACTGCATAGCATCCTTCCAACATTGAAATTGAACAGCTTGATTATATGTCTTGGGCTCAAAGGTAGATGAAACAGTAGTAGAGAACACTCTATGTGTACATGATAAGGAATCATAAGATAGAACTGATTCCAATGGATGTGGAGAAGTTTTTTTGCATTGCACCGAATCACAACGGTAATCTTGCAGTCTTACAGGAATAGACCTTGCTCTTGTAGACCTCCTTGGTTGCACATCATGGATAACAGGATCAAAAAGTAGTATTCTCTCATTTGGAATGGCAAATTGATATCTGGTTGCACCTGTGGTACTACAGGTTCTGAACTTGGATAAGAAACATCTGAGATGGGAATGATTGGCAAAGGGGGGTTAAAGAAACCACTTGACTGACTGTCATGAGAATCAATTGAATCATTTTCTTTGAAAGGGAATATATGTTCATAAAAATGAACATCTCTGGAAATGAAAATGGAACCATCTTGGATGTCATAAAGAGTATAACCTTTGACATTTGCTGGAAAGCCAATAAACAAGCATTTCTTGGATCTGGGTGCCATCTTGTGTCTAGATTGCTGCAAAGTAGAGGCAAAGCATAGGCAACCAAATACCCTTAAATGCCCATAATCCACTTTTTTCTTGTGTAAGATCTCAAAGGGTGTGCTCCATCCAATAACTTGAGAGGGCATTCTATTTATCAAATAATCTGCATGAAGGACGCAATGACCCCAAAATTTCATAGGGATACCTGCTTGAAACTTTAATGCTCTAGCAACATTTAGAACATGTTGATGTTTCCTCTCGGCTATAGCGTTTTGTTGTGGTGTACCAATGCAAGTTTTCTGATGGACAATTTCTTTCTCATTGTAAAAATCTGTCATATTAAATTCACCTCCATTGTCGCTTCTTATAATCTTGATTTTGGCAGAACACTGGGTGTCAACATAAGTGCAAAAATTCTTAAGCGGACTTAGCTTCTGATTTGTGAGCCATCAAGTGTAACCATGTAAATCTGCTATAGTCGTCAACTATGGTTAAGAAATAACAATTTCCTTGCATAGAACAGATAGAAAATGGGCCCCAGATATCAGTATGAATAAGTTCAAAACATGCAGATGTTGAAGAAGTACTAGTAGGAAAAAGGACTTCTTTTTTGTTTAGCAAAATGGCATGCATCACAAACCAGTTCCTTGGGAGAATTAGGATAACAAACATCATGCAACAAGTGCTTTTTATTAACAGGGAAGTGGCCCAATCTATTGTGCCAAGTTTCTAATCCCACAACATTACAATGCAACTCTGAAATTTTATTAAAAAAACAAATGTCTTCTCACTGGTGGGTTGGTCAAGTAGTATAATCCATTTTCCTCTTTAGCAAAACCAGTCCTCTTCATACCATGTTCCCCCTGAATTAGACATTTATCAGCCATAACAAGAAGATTACAATCTGACTGTTTTGTTAGTCTGCTAGCTGAGACAATATTGAAACTGAATGTAGGAATATAAGGCACATTCTGCAAGCATATAGTTTCAGAAAGTTTTACTGCACCAACATATGCAACATAAACTTTTTCACCGTTTGGCATATTAACCATAATACCTTGAGCAGCTTTATATGTGTGAAAATAATCCAAACTGCAAGTTATATGGTTTGTAGCCCCTGTATCAAGAATCCATATATCTGAACAATTAAGAAGAACATTGATATTAGTAAGGGTAATATACTTGCCTTCTGTTGATTGTCCTGCTGTAGCTTTAAAATTAGGAATGAGACTGTTGGAGTATTTACTGAAATACTAGCAGCTGTGGAAGTACTGGTTGAAGTCTGTCCCATATGATTTTGCATTAGAGATAACAGTTTTTGAAACTGTTCATTAGTGAGGCCTATATCCCCTCCAATCTGATTGACTGCACTTGAGGTTGGATTCCCTTGGCTTTTATTCTGTGTTTGTTTATTTTTTGACTTATATCCTGGGATCCAACCTGGTGAAAAACCATGCTTCTTATAGCATTTTTCAATCGTATGACCTGTCATCCCACAATACGTACACTTAGCAGCTTTATTCCCATTGTTAAAAACAAACCTCTTCCTGTTATTGTTACTATTTCTAGGATTAGAACCTGCAACATAAGCCACAACTTTTTCATTCACTAGTTCAGAAGCATTACTTGAACTGACATTGGCGTGTGAGACCTCACTGTTACCAATACCATTCTGAAGATCATTCAACTGTCTTTCAACTTTAAGTGCCATCCCAAAAAACAGTATGAATAGCAGGTATAGGATCCAACATCAGGACATTAGACTTCATATTATTAAACTCCTCATTAAGACCTTTGACAAATCGAATTACGCAATCATCATCAAGGTATTTCCTCATTTCAGCAATGACTCCACAAGAGCATATGGGAAGAGGTCTTAATACATTCATTTCATCCCATAATATCTTGAACCGAGTATAATAGTCTGTAACATTAAGACTTCCTTGACTAAGAGCATTAATTTCATCTTGAAGAGCTGAGATTCTATATGAATCTCCTTGAGAAAATCTCTTTCTCAAGTCTTCCCAAATATCCTTGGCTGAATTAATCCAAAGCACACTTTGTGCTATGGATTGAGATACGGACTTAAGTATCCAGGAACTCACCACAATATTACATCTCTTCCATGCGGCGTACTGCGGATCATCATTGGTTGGGGTAGGGATGATTGAGCCGTCGACAAATCCCCACTTATTCTTCACTTCTAGGGCCATTTGCATTGCTCTGGACCAGGAATGATAATTTGCACTGGTTAATGGAGGATTGACCAGAATTGCACTCGGATTTTCGTTAACATGCAAGTAGAACGGACTATTGTAGTCTTCAATGCCTAGATTCTGCTGTGAGGAAGAAATCGGTGGGACTGGAGCTTGATTAAGCCTTCCGGTGGAGCTAATGTACTGGTTTCAGCTCCGATTGCGTGGCTCTGATACCATATTGCAATCTCAGTAAAGTATATCAATCATTGAGGGAAAGAAGAAAGATGTTGCATTGATGAACATAGTAGCTGCTTATTACAGAGAGGAAGATCAGAGAAAGAGAAATGGAGATTTACAAATCTGTTTTATAAAATCTGTAACTGCATCTTCCAAAATATTGGATGAGCTGGACACAAGTTGACTAGCTAGCCTTGGAACCTTCTAGAGCCTTTTCCTTTTCTTTCTCTTTATTTATATGTTGTGATAGGACCGAACTTGTATTACGATATAACATAATTAAAAATATCCAAACTAATAATCTATTGAGTTGAATCAAAACCTAAAACATTGTATAGAGCTCAATTCTTAATTTTGATAATGTAAGTAATGTCTAACTTTAAACTCTAAGCAAATAAGTTATGTTTAAATAAGTAAAGTGCTTAGAAAAGATAGAAGATGATGATAAATAAAAAAAAAATATGATAATGAATGTAATCATAGTAAATAGTAATGTGGTTATACTGACATATAACCAAATAGATGATAGATAATTCTGTTTTCTATTTAGCAGGGCCGGATTTTAGGTTTTTGTGGTCCTGCTCTGGTAAATAAATGAGGCCCTACCAAAATGATAATTATACACACAAGTTTCAAACCTTTGACCTTTAAATTGAAATTGAAATACAATAAGTACATATTTATACCATCTCTTCATGAAACCTTTTAGAATTAATTGAAAAATTTTAGTTTTTATTTCTAAACTAGTTAGGTAAAAGTTAAATATAGGACCTCTAAAATTTGGGGCCCCTCTAAAATTGGGGGCCCTGTGCGATAGCCCAGCTTGCACAGCCTAAAATCCGGCCCTGCTATTTAGGAAACAATTTTTAAGAGTGAAAAATTATTTTCAGTTTTCAAAATGAAAAACTATGCTAGTAAACATGTTTTCCGTTTTCTATTCTCCAATTCTCCACAAAATTGGAGAAAATTTCTTGTTAGTTAACGGACCCATAATTTTATCTTCAAATATTTTTGTAAATATACATCAATTTTTAAATTAGTAATCAAATCTGGAGTATTATTGTAACAAAAAGTTGACATCGATGAACAGAAGAGCCCCACAAGATTGTAGAGCAGTAAATTATACTGACTCAACTGATTACAGAAGTTAGACTTTTATTTACTGTGCATAAAGAATCTTCTCATTTGAGAGGTTCATTGCTCCAACACTGTCACTTGCAAAACTCGATTTTTGATTTATTATGATAAAATTTGATCACTATTGTGACCAGTTGAATTGTCCATGCAGATCACAAATTTGTATTATTAGTGTAATGATTAGAGGACAGGGAACCCTACTCAGCACTGGGGGAACACTTTATTTTAGATCAGATAAAGCAAAAAATAAAGAAGCGAATCAAACCAAAGTTTGTCGAAACAAATTTGGGTGATCGCCTAGGAATTCTCGCTATATGCGCCATTCTTCTTTTCTTGACCAATTCTTCGATTTCTGTGTTCATAATACCTCAATATTTTCGAGAGACGATTAAACTTGTTTGGTTTATAAGATTCTTCACAAAAAGTTGAATCTCCAATTTCAAGGATCCCTCACATCTCGTTTAATAAAGTATATAAGATTATGTAAATTATGGTAATTTAGCTGAATACAGAAGTTATACTTTATCTCAGATCATTGTTCTCAAACTTTACTTTTGTGACTAACTGATATATTCATGCAAGCAGGGACGAAGCCAAAGGGGGCGGCTCCCCCCACCCCTTCCTCATATATAATCTTTATATGTATATATGTATATATAGTACATGTTTTAGTATTGGCATAAAAAAGAATTAATAAATGCCAATAAGAATGAGTTAGATTAGTTGGGAGAGCACATGTTTGGCAATTGTAAAGGTTAATAGTTTGAATCTTTTGGCATCATTATATTTTTACAGTGTTTTTAATTCAAATTATTTTATCAAATTAATTATATTTCATATTTTGTTATGAATATTTTTATAAAGTTTCGATGTGTTTTATTTTTCGCTCTTATCCAACAATATTTATAACTATATTTCTTAAGTAATTTTTTTTTTTGAAGGCTACTGACTCTATTACAATGTAGTATTTCTTAGGTAATTTATTTATTTTTTTTTTAAATTATCTCTTTTATTTTAATGCATGTTTCGCCTTTATTAGAAAAAATTTTTGAATCCGTCCCTACTTCTTCGCCCCCCCCCCCCCTCCCCCAATCGAATTTTTAGCTCCGTCTCTTCATGCGAGCTTGTTATATTTATGTGATTAGGTGTATTCTGTTCACTCAAAATGAGAAAAATAAAAATAAAATGGCCTAAAGTTTTGTAAATATTCCCTCACAATAAGATACTTTCATTGTTCTTTTAGATGTTTCATAATACACTTTTTTTGTGCACAAATTAAATCAGAACACTAAGAGTGGGTTTAGAAATTTAGAAAATGATTTTTGAAAGTCATTTTTCAGATTTATCTATATTTGGGTATTCAAAAAATAAATAAATAAAGCCAGAAAAATATTCATTCTGATCAATAGAAAAATGTCTTAGTCGTTCAATGGAAAATATCTTCGTAAAGGAAAATATTTATTAGGCTGGATTATTATTTTCATCACCACCACTATTCATTTTCAAGAAAAATAAACAAAAAAAAAAATTAAAATTTTAAACTTTCAGCCAAATAGTTTTTGACCTTTACCCAAATATTTAAAAATTAAACCATTTTCTATAAAATGAGTCATGAAAATTATTTTTCGAAAAACATTATATTTTTTAATTTTTCAACACAAAACCCTAAATTAAAGTGTTAGTTCCACTTCATATGAGAATTGTTTATTAGCATTGACTAATTATGAGTAATCTAAGTTGGTTTACCTCTTATAATTCTTTGTCAATATGATTAGGGTTACAAGAGGAGTTTCACCTATAACACACTTTTAAGATAGTGACAGATGTAAATCAAAAGATGCATTGGTCAATGTGAGAGAATCGTTTTTGATAATATCCCGACTAATATGATGCACTTGCTTAGATGGAATGCTAAGAATATTGAGTCTTTAAGAATGAAATTTTAAAGTAATATATTACTAATATTTTACCTTTCAAATAATGTAGTAAAGAATAAAAAAGCAAGTAAAGCAAAGTGGATGATTAATATCATTCTTGGATCGACTGCAAAAATCTAGCTTCTATATATAATATTAAATTAATAAAGAACGACAGTGACCTTAGCTTGTTCCATTCATATAGTCTATCTAAAAGCACATCTCTTAATCAAACTATGGACCATCTTCCTATAAACAATTTGACTATCTTAATACTTCATAATTAACAATCGAACATAAACTAAATTAAAGAACGGATAACATACCATAAACTAGGTTCTGAACTCACTTACAAAGTTATGTTACATTGAGAAGAACACAAGTTAAACCCTAAGTTACATAGAAATAGAAAAGAGAAAATTTCAATTTTGATCCTATAACTATAGAGGTCTTGTTAATTTCAGTCCTCGACTTTTAAAAGTGTCAATTTAGTACCTTGTCTATGCAATTTTTGTCAATTTTGGTCACTTCGGTCAAATTTGCCGGCCAAATTTCGCCGAAAAATTTTAATAGTTGAAATAATGAGGGTATTTTAGTTATTTCACATCTCTTTTCTTCTTCTCCTGCGAGTCTACCATGTTTTAGTTGTTTCCGGCGAGTTCTCCCAGCTTCGAAAGAACAGGCGAAGCGGCTCAAGGCCTTTTTAAAACCAAAGTGGCCTTGAAGAAAGGAAAACTGAGGAAGTATGAGGTCGCCGACAGGTTAGAGAAGAAAGGAAAAGGGTAAAATGATTAAAATACCCTCATTATTTTACCTATTAAAATTTTTCGGCGAAATTTGACCGGTAATTTGGCCGGAGTGACCAAAATTGACAAAAATTGCATAGTCAAAGTACTAAATTGACAGTTTTGAAAGTCGAAGACTGAAATTAACAAGACTCCTGTAGTCATAGGACTAAAATTGAAATTTCCTCAAATAGAAAATGAGAAAATGAAAAACTGCGAAGTATAAAATATGAAGAGTAAATGCCAGTCGGGATTCTTCCGTAGTTTAAGGATAAAATTTAGGATCATGACTGGTTAAAAAATTAAAAGTTGAAGGACCATGGACAGTTAATTTAAAAGTTGAATGACCATGTGTGGTTAACTTTAAAAAGTTGAAGGATCAAAAGTGATTAAATTAAAATTTTAAGATTAACCGTGACCGTGCTAGTATACATCCCAGCTGACATTAACTTGAATATGAAATACATGAAAAATGTAAATATAATTAAATAATATTAATTGTTCACTAGTCTTTTTAGGAGATGCATTTTTTTAAAATAAAAAATAAAACTCAAAAGAAACAACTATTTTGTTACATTATAATCCAATGGGTTTCTAACTTTCCAGCCTTGTGCCTCTCAAGCTTAACTCAATGGTTCAAGAGTCATTCTAAAAGTCTTGCTCTAGTGATAAGAATGAAGACTCTACGTGCGTAAAGTTTACAGAGCAGGGATAGAAACTAATGATTGAATGACTGACTCGCGATTTACCTCCTCCAGGCTCCAGCACCCCTGGCAGGGGTTCTGGACACATCTAAAAAACTTTATGGCCATGCATTCAGGTATAGCTTGTGATGAAAATAGCTGCAAAAGCTGATGATTTGAGGAATGATGGGTCAGGAAAGAAATGCATGCTGATGATCTGATCTCTTTAATCACCAACATCTTATCTACAATAATATATATGTGTGTGTCTACTGAGGGGATATGATGTAGCAGTAACAGAAGACAATATTTGAATCCTCCGGCATAGGAACAGTAAAGTAAAAGGTGGTCAGTCAATGCAAGCAAGCAAGCTAATAGCAAGGTTCACTTTCATGGGGCCAAGAGACTCATGTTTAAAGGGTGCCAAAATCTTACTTTCTCTCATTACAAAGCAAAGCCAAAATACCCTCCAGCGGTAAAGGGCCATTAGGAATATATCTTTAGCTACTTGTCTCTTTATTAAAGAGAAAATATGCTCCCTAGCCTATCTAGGCCCCCGGCCCTCTTTTGAATTCAAACACCCATTATATTACTTCAAGAATCAAGAATGATGACAATTTCCAATCGCATATATATTATATATGCAACATTATTTCGAATAATTATTCTAATTTTGCTAATTAATATCTTCACTTCCGATCCCACTAATCTATGTGACATATTGTAATTGAATCAGAATAGAAAGTGAATTACAATTTTCATTCTTTTTTTATTTTTCTTCTTCATCTTCTTCTAATAAAATTAACACAAATGTGTACAAGTTTTATTTTCTAAGAGTACACTTATCATTGTTCGTGTAATATAATAAACATTTTTTCCATCCGAAAAAGAAGGGGTATTAAGTTCAAACTCGGATCTATTAACTGAAAGTTAATCTACAAATTTATATTTTATATTGTTTGGTGGAGGCCGGTGAAGAATCAAGTCCAACACCGGGTGGCTAATTAAGGGGATTTGCTTGGCGGAGGCTTGAATTGAAGAGCTAAATCCAACACTCTGTCTCTTGAAAATGCTATGGTATATAAGAAAATAAAGTTGCGTATTGACTACGAGCTATAACTTGCTAAGGCCTGCACCAGGTGACTAGGAGATTGTTGAGCAGTCCGGCCGGTTGTAGATTCATAATTTCTATACTGTAGATTCATAATTTCTATACTGTAGATTTATAAAATCTATACTGTAGATTCATAATTTCTAAACCGTATTTTCATAATTTCTATATTGTAGATTCATAATTTCTATACTGTAGATTCATAATTTCTAAACCGTATTTTCATAATTTCTATACTGTAAATTCATAATTTCTATATTGTAGATTCATAAAATCTATACTGTAGATTCATAATTTCTAAACCGTAAATTCATAATTTAAATACAGTAGATTCATAATTTCTATACAGTAGATTTATAATTTCTAAACTGTGCGATTGCAAAGAGATAAACACCGTTAACGACAGGTGAGGGAACTATGCAAGGTGGGCACGTTTCTACAACATAATTTGCTGGGGGAATTAACTCAGATATTAAATTGAATGAGGTATTATATTATTATTATTATTATTATTATTATTATTATTATTATAATAACCCCATATAGTATTATACAATAGATTTGCCTTGAGTCTTGTGAATCAAGATTATAATTAGAACGCAATTCCGACAGTGTGCCTAATCTATTCTCAAAGCCACTCGTCTCATTTGCCCCTCTCTCTCCCTCTCTCTCATCACTTCATCAAAGCAAAAGCCTTCATTCCCTCCTTTCCAAACAAATTAAAGAACAAAACATCCAACGTTGTTGGTCTCTCAAGAAATGTCTCAACAACAACAACAACAATTCCAGCCTCAAGTTTACCCTTACAACAATGTCCCAACACAACCCAATACCTTATTCCCACCGCCAGTCGTCGCCGCCGACACAACATCCCACTCCAACGGATCATTCGGCACAGTTTTTTGGGTCATCGGAGTCATCATCGCCGTCAGCGTTCTTGCTTGCGTGGCCAACAGGCTTTGCACCAGAAGAAGCAAAGGTTCAAAGCCGTCAAAGAAGGACAAGAAAGGCCACGGCGGCCACGGTCACGGCCACGGCCATGGCCAGGCTAAGCTTCCTAAAGAATGGGAGGGGAAGCGGAGCCGCCCGGATTTCCACCAGGATGACGGCGGGGATATAGAGTTTGGGTTTGGCGGGAAGAGATTTCCTTCTGCTAAGGTTGCCGCAACTGGAGACCACCCACGGTCTGCGCCACCGATGCCGGGGTTTAAACACCACGGCGGCGGCGGCGGCGGTAAGGGAGTGGTTAGATTTGCTGATGATCATATAGATTTCAAACCCGGTCCGTGAACAAACTAATACATGGTTTAGTATTTGTTGGTCGGAGGTTATTAATACATTTTGCTTTTTTTTTTTTTTTTTTTGGGTTTCTTTTCTTGTTGTTGGTGCAAATTGGGTAAGGTAGCTAGCTAGCTAGGGGGGTGGGTTGCTAAATGTAATGCTCTTAAGTCTAAAGTTTATTAAGGGCTTCCATGATTAATGATCAATTCAGTCAATGCCTCTATTTTTCTTCTCTTCCTCCAAAACGTTGAATCTTCAACCCAAGGACCCACCACATCTTAGTCCAATAAAACATTTTTGACGATGTAAATAATCACAATAATTCAATGGCTTAGTAACGGGATAAAATGTCGATAAACATAAAAAATCTGTCCACTTTAAACATAATTTTCACATCGTTGTTAGCTTGTCGCCAAAGTACTATTTTTCTTCTCTATTCTCTTTATACTCCATTGTCATTTTGCAAAAAAAAAAAAAAAAAAAAAAAAATCTTAAATGTTTATTCTATTTTTGAGCTCAATCTCGACTATGGGACAATTTATATCATGGACCAGGATCCACATAGCATTATGGATTGTGGATCAAAACGACGAGGTATATAATTCATATTCATAACGTATAGAATTTCATAACACAAGACAAAAAATTACAATACAAGATACATACACATGTTATATATTTACTAATTTTTCAAATCTGATTTAGGTATCTAATTTGTGTTCATAACCACATAATTTTATAACACAAGACATAGAAATTCATAACATAAGACACAATTACTAATTTGTTTCAGGTATAGAATTCACACTCTTAAGGTACATAATTTCATAACACAAAATACAAAAACTCATAACATAAAATACATACACATGTACCGGAGTCCACAATAATGCATTCTGAACCTGATCCATGGTATAAGGATTGCGACTATGGTGGTATCACTTTTAATTTATTTTTGATGCAAAACATTTTGTAAAATTTGATAACTATAAACAAAATAAATAAAAGTTGATAACCAAAAGTAAAAATGTTTTAAATCACCCAAGGACGCTCCTAGCAGTTGGCTCACCCCATCTATCTTCAGACAGTAGTACAGAACCAAACCTATCCTTGGTAAGGCAGCCTCAAGCTAAGGACCCATAGTTGATAAGTGATAACTAAAAGTTAAAAAAGTTGTTATACTTGAGACTAAAAAAATAAATTTAATTTTAATTATACTCCAGTAATATTAAATGGATCTAAAAAAAAAATGGATCTAAAATTTGAGATTTTATATTTAGGGCATCCTCAATAGTAGTAGGATTTTGATAAAATTTTACAAGTGTGATTAGGAAAGAGAAATGAGTGAAAAGAAAAAATAAAAATCAAAATAAAAAATGGAAAAGACCCTCAACCCCACCCCCACTCCCCCCCCCCCCAAATCCCCTAAAATCTCTAAAATTATGATAAAATCCCTTAAATAACCTAACAACCTCAATCCCCTTTCTCATCTCTCTTCCAACACATCAACTTTTTTTTAAAATATGTGCAAAATCTCCCTAATGGGGATGCCTTAGGGTCCGATTTGGAAATCTTTGAAAAATGTTTTTTTTTTATAAATGATTAATTTTTGGAAACTATTTTAATTTTGTAGTGTTTGGCTAAATGTTACGAAATTGCATTTTTCATATTTGATTCACTTTTATGAAAATGAATATGTGACTTGTTATATAATAATAATAATAATAATAATAATAATAATAATAATAATAATAATAATAATAATAATAATAAGTGGTGGTGTGGTAGGGGCGGGGGTGGTGGTGGTGAAGGAGGTTGTTTTGGTGGTGGTGGTGATAATAATAATAATATGGAAACTAGCTTGAAGAGAGATGAGAAGAAATAAAGAAACGAGAAAATAAAAAATTTTAAAACTGTATTTTGATTAAAAATTTAGAAAAACATTTTCGACCAAATTGAACATTTTTTACATAGACTATAATGAATATTTTCTTTTGACTTTATTTTCTTTTGACTTTATTTTCTTTAAACATCTAAACACAGAAAAATCTAAAAAATAATTTTCAAAAGTCATTTTCTGAATTTCTAAACAGAACTAAATCCCTATTATTCATTCCAATGTACTAAAGATATTCTTGTTTCATTTGTTGCATATTTGTGAAACATAATGGGCCATATACAAGAATCTTATTGACTTGTAAATGGATCAAAATACAAAGTTTATTCTTCCACTCATTCTCCACTACATCAGTGGGGAATGGACAACAAAATACAATTAAATAAAATGAGAGCGCAATTTATATCCTGCATCACGGCTCGCGTTGCATTGTTCACCCAGATACAAAATGATGTCGTTTTTCAATTTTTTTTTTTTTTTTGAAATTTCGCTACCCAGTGTTTGGCAATTAATTTTACTTAAAAAAAAATTTTATGTTCAAAAATGTATATAATGTTATACTAGAATACACATAATTGTATACATGAATGTACATACTTATATAACAAAATACACATACTCTTTTTTAAAAGATAATACACATTATCTAACATAATACATAATAAACATAAAGAGTTAATACCATCTGAGGTCCTCCGAGTATAGTGGTTTTGCCACGTTTAGTCCTAAACTTTCAAATTAACCATTTGTGGTCCTTCGACTTTCAAATTTAACCATTCATGGTCCAAGTTAACCACCCATGGTCCTTCAAGTTCCGAAATTTAACCAATCGTGGTCCTCTTAAAAGGATCATGGTTGGTTAAAATTTAATAGTTGAAGGACCATGGGTGGTTAACTTGGACCACGAATGGTTAAATTTGAAAGTCGAAGGACCACAGATGGTCAATTTGAAAGTTTAGGACTAAACGTGGCAAAACCACTATACTCGGAGGACCTCGGATGGTATTAACTCTAAACATAAACTTTTAACATAATACACATCAACTCTTAACACAATACACAAAATTTCCTGATCCGGATGTACATAATTGTATAAAAAAATGTACATAATTGTATAAAAAATGTACATAATAAAAAATATACATAATTGTATAAACAAATATACATAATCATGTCAACTTCCTACCGCACCTCCCCAAACGACGTCGTTTTGGGAGGCGCGGGGCGCACAGTGCACTGTGCGCCATGGTGCAGGGTATAACGATTGAAATGAGAGGAATAAATAATATGATGGCTTTATTGGACAAAGTCTATTATGAAAAAGAGAGAAAAAAAAATAAACATAAAACTATGACGTGGTGTTTAGTTCAAAGAATAAAAATAAAACGTAATATAATAAAATTCTAATAATAGAAATGAATTAAGAAAGGAATAGAATATGAATATTATTCTACTGTTTGGTTCACAAGTGAAATAAACATGAGATTATATGATGAATCATATTTTTGTGTTTTGTTGGATTAGAGAATTAAAAAAAAAAAAGAATTGATTTAGATAACCAAAATACCCTTATTCAAAATAAAACAAATACAAATATATTCATACTCACCCATCATAAAATGACAAAATACAAAACATAATAAAAATTATTGTATTATTTCAAAATCAATTCTGAATAAAAAGAGAACGAAGAACAAAATAATACATTGTACATGAACTTGGTCTCTCCCGCTCATGTATTCTATGTGTATGTATGTGTATACACACACATGCATGTATACATACATAAAATTTGAAGAAATATATATATATATATATATATATATATATATATATATATATATATATATATATATATTGTAACACCCAGATTTTCAAGGCATTTAAAACTTATAAAATAAAGGTGAAATCTCATTAAATCCCAAAACATAATACAAGAGTACGGGGTGCTATGCCACACCTGAGCTAGAGAAATCAGGTGCACAGGCTAACTAACTAATATCCTCAATAATGTAAATGCATAAGCATGGCACGCAGGCCGAAAGGGGAGCTATCTACTTCTACGTTCCAAGTTCTAGCGCGCTCCAGTGACTTATTCTTCTGTGCCTGAAAGCCAAATATATCTGTTCAGCGAGAGATGCTGGTAACCCACTCCAACGCGTTGAAATACATTACATATAGAGATATATATAGATATACGAAAACCATTTTGAGCATGAAGATATATCCTACGAACTCTACTAGCTTTTAAATCCGGGGATGACAAGACAGATAAGGCTAGACACAAGCAACAGTTATAACAAGCGTATACAATCCACAGCAGGCAAGACAGATAAAGCTGAGCACCATTAATAATCATAACCCAACGTAAACAATCCCCAACATAAATCCCATAGTCACAACCCCCAAGATACTCATAATCACAACTCATCCATATCTCAACACATAGCACACTTTGTTGGCGCCACAGGACCAATCGCATGCCCATACATGAGGGTCAGCGCATATAGCTCTGACACGGCCCCGCAGCACCCTGCCCCGTATCGCAACACGGAGGGGTCGATCGCAACCGACCGATGAACCGCAGCTCATCATAATGTTTGATCGCAACCAAACAGTGGACCGCAGCCCAAGAGAATGTCATCTGACCGCAGCCAGGAAAGTATGAACCGCAGCTCATGTGGAAACGTTTGATCGCAACCAAACGGTGGACCGCAGCCCAAGAGTGTAAATCTGACCGCAGCTCAGGAATAACCAATCCGATCGCAACCGAATTGGGGTATCATGCACACATAACACATAGTAAGCACATGCAACCCACATTAACACATTGGGAAGGGGGAGAAAACGTATAACAAAACCTATGCATGATCCTTCACATACTAAGAATAATCCTAAGGGGTTAATGATTCTTCCACCTAGGTCAATGGGATACCAATTCAACTAGCATGCAATATATAATACTCATACAACCTACGAACGGTACCCGAAATATCCAACTAGACATAGGCACGATAGACGGAGTCCGTTGGGACACCACGGGGATCGGGGAAACATCAAACGGGGAAGCCGGGGTCCCAAATGGGGATGATTCACAGCGGGTAGCCGGTGG